CTCCCAGAATTCTGGCTGGCTGGGGAATTCTGGGAGTTGAAGTCCACACATCTTAAAATGGTCAAGGTTGGGAAACACTGCTCCAAAGAATGCTCAGATGCAGGAGACTGCTACAGTTTAAAATGGGTTGGAACATCACTTTCACCTTCAAAAGGTGGAGATAATCACATGTTAATGTACAGGGTTGTTAGGGTGACAATGAAGTCTGAGAAATACCTTACCTGTTAAGATTATCAGATTATACCACCCTTTTTTCAGTCAGTTCTCCATGTTTTCTATCATGCTCCAATGGAAAGATGCTGGTGCTTACAAATGCTGATGCAAAAAATTTAACTCCTGTTCTCCCACTGACATGGAGGTCCATTCCCCCAGAAGGTTCAATTTTCAATTATATGATTCAAGGTTCGTTTGATCTGTAAACTATGATCACAAGTACATGTATATATGTGTGTGTGTTCATGAAGAACCACCTATTCCCTTATGGACTTGTGCACGTGTTATGATATATATGAGCGACTCTGTTCCCTTTACAAAGAAATGTGGCCTGTGAGAGCGGGAGGGGAGACCTTTTCCAGAGATGGCACCACCGTTGCAGAACGATTTCTCCAGGAATGTTTGGCTGGTATCAGTTCTGTTACTTTATTGCCAAGGAAAGAATATTCTGATCTTGTAGGCTTTAATAAATATATTTCTGCTTTTTTTGTTTTATTGATGGTTTTGCTTTGCTTTTATGGGCTATGTTATGCTATGCTTAACATGAACTGCTTTTAAAATGTTTCATCCTGCTAGCCACTTAGAATTTCCAGCTGAAAAGTACTAAAAAAAACTCTTTAAAATATTTTGAAGTTAAGCTAAAAGGATGTAAGCAAAATGACTATAAAGCACAGAAATGCAGTAATGCTCCAGTAACACGTAACAAAACATGAATAGATTCTGTGTGGATTCTGAGATCTTTCCTGAAATTACTACTGTGAAAATTTCAGATATCTGCTGCACCAATATGATGGTTCTCTTTTAGTAAGTATCAACTCTTGTTCCTCTCTATGTGTGCTCAAAGTTCTGAAGGAGTTGGAATTAGCCCTTCTTAGCCCAACCAGCTTGGACTCTGAAAGGTCTTCTCCACGGCAGTACAGAAATCAAGAACTGCAGAACGGAGATCCTACAATGAAGCAGTAAATGTTTGCCCCTTCTGCATATGCTTTGGAGAAGTCAGATGTTCATAAAGTTTCTTTTTTTCCTCTTGCTCCAAGGACAGGCAGAGTACTGCCCTCCCCGTTGTCTGTTCATCCATCCATCCATCCATCCATCCATCCATCCATCCATCCATCCATCCATGTCTGCTGCCTGCTGGTACAAAATACTGGATCGAAATGAAAGAATAATAACCCACACCAGAAATGAGACATGGTAAGGAGACAGGGTAATTAAGTTTTCCACAAAACTTTTTACCTTTCAAGGAAAAAAAAAAAAAAGGATTCAGTTCTAGCACAGTGAGTTTTGTTGACCACCTGCTTCTCCCCACATCTAAATGTAAGATACAAGAAAATCCATTAAGGATGGGAAAGGGTTCTTCTGAAACATGCTGTGTCTACAGGACATTGCAGGAAAAATCCATGGATATTCCGACTCAGAACATTTTGATTCAGGCTTTGGAGTCAGCCTTTAAAGATCATAAAAGATACTGACTAGGAAGAAGGTGGGAAGAGTTTAATGAACCTTGCACAGAAGCTGGAATTCAAGGCTCAACCTAAAAGAGGAAGAACCTCTTTAATTTAGCATGGA